ATTGTGTTTAGTTGACCAAAAAAAAAAAGAAGAATGAAAATAATATTTAACCCCCTTCATCTCAAAATTATAAATTTTAATAAATTTTTATTAAGAAATTAAAATATTTTATTTTTAAAACACAAATTAAAATATTTTTAGTTATTGCTCATAATATTTTATTAAAATTAAGTAATTTTAAAATAATTTTTTTCTTAATTTTTAAAAATTAAAACGTATAAGTTCTAACAACTTTTTTATTTAATGGTCCATTAATTCATATATAATATTATAATTACTTTCAATTTACTATCAGCTATGTATGGACAATTGTGTAGAGTTGCATCCGCTTTAGAGAGAAATTCTTTTTATATAATAGAGATATTATGTGAATGGTATCCTTATTAATGTAAAGACATGTTAGCAATTTATATGAGATTCATTTACAATTAAATAATAAGTAAATTATAATAAATAATTTTTTTTTAATTACAAGTGGGGCACATATATTAATGTGTTGCTATATTAATAAACAAAAATATTATTGATGTGGTATCATGTGTATATATATCATAAGCAAGATATTTTACTTTCAAAGATTTTTTCACTTTCTAAATATAGGATTCAATCTCAGTCCCTAAATAAATAAATAAATAAATAAACAAAGAAAAAAAAACTCAATTTTTTTATTTAAAAATTAACACTCTCAAAATATAATCATTTAAGGAGTTAGTGTCGGGCGTAGAATTCTTTGAAAATTTTTTTTAGATTACTTATTTAAAAACCCACATATCAATTAATGGATTAAAAATTGTATTCATATAAACCATACATATTAATTTTTATATTAATTTAACATTTAAAACCTTTTAATTAAAATTTTTGATTTACTTATATATTTAACGTGTTAAATTTTATATAATTAACAAAATAATTAGACTATTAAAATAATCTAAAAATTGATGTGCATAATATATATGAATAAAATTTTTAATCTAAAAATTAATTTTACAAAATATTAGCTAAAAGATAAAATTATAGACAAGTCCAACAAAACATTTTTCCAATCATTTAATATCAAAAATTATAGTTACCCAATTTGGCATATCCTTTTAGGAAGAAATTAGAGGTTTTGGATCAACTAAAAAAACAAAAAAGTTAAATGTCAATTTTGGTCTCTCAAATTAAAAATTTTGTACAATTTTTGTCCATTAACTTTTTTATGCACATTTTTTATCTCTCAATTATGAAAAATATAGTTTTTTAATCATTATATTAATTGATCTGTTAAATATATCTAAATATGTATATTTTTAATTCTTTAACTTATAATATATACATATTTTTTGTCCTCAAAAGTTAAGGGACTAAAAATATGCATATTTTGACAAATTTAACGGATTAACTAATATAAAAATTAAAAAAGTGTTTTTTTTTTTTAATTGAGAGACTAAAAATATACATAAAATATTTGAAGGACAAAAATTATACAAAATCTTAAAGTTGAGAGATCAAAATTGACATTTAACCTAAAACAAGAGTAAAGTTTTTTTTTATAAGTTTCCTTTTGACAAGTGAAAAAAGAAGGTGAATAAGGAAAAAGGGTTAAAGCCAACCATAGTCCCTCTACTTTCAATTTTCATTTATTGTTTTCCTTGTGCTTACAAATTGTTCAAAATCCTCTCCATACTCTTCCAAACCATACTATAGTCCTCCCTCTACTTTAACTTTTTATAACATTTACCTCCGTCTCCTAAGACCACACTAACACCGTTTGTAACTCCATCTCACGGAGACATCTTAGACCATTAAGTTTGATAGTTTATTATTTTTTTGAATTGTGTTTTTGGGCATAAAGTCCTGCATGGCTGTGTACTTGAGCAATTAAAAAAACAGCCTACCATGTACTTTCCCATGATCAATCAACTAAAGTTAGGGGTACATAAAATGTTATTACATCCTAAAGTGTTTTTTATTTTTTGGCCATTGCATCCTAAAGTGTTAGGCATTATTTGTTAGTAATTTGTTATATTGTATTATAATTACAAGTTTTTTCTTTTATTATTCTAAAAATATATTATATATTAATTAAAATGAATCAAGAATGTTATAGTTATAATGTCATATAGGATTATAAATTTGTAATTATTATTTGACATTAAATGATTGTGATATATTATTAAATTAATAGATGCATATAATACTAGGGTGGACTCTAAGTGAAAAAAAGTTAATCATATAATGATATATCATATTGTTATAATGCTACATGACATTACAACTATATTATTTTTTAAAAATTAATAAAAGTACTTAAAATTTAATTAAATTTGATTAATAATAATCAAATTACATTTTAGATAAGGTGCTATATAAAAAAGATTTATGAAAAGTATAATTAAACAAAATCTTAATATTATACAAAATTATTACATTTTCAACAATATTTAAGCTTGATTTGGCAGTGGTGCACTGTATTCATAGAATTTTCTATCTTTTGCTATCTTAAAAATATTTAAAATATTAATTAAAATTAGTAAAAGAGGTTTTTTTTTTTTAATTTGTACCCTTTTGTGTTCTAAATGCATATGTTAAGAGTCTTGAAAAAATTAATATTGATATTTAATTTATTAAATGTCTAATTAAATTTATCGACATTGCAATGACTATAAAGTTAATGTTAGGTTTTACATTTTTCTATACAAATTTATGGTAAAAAAAATACTCTTAACCTCTACTCTTATGACACAAATTAGAAAAACTCTTAAAAAAATATTTAAAAAATTAATTAAAATTAAAAAATTTACATTTTAGACAAAGTACCATGTGAAAAAAAAAAATGTAAGAAGTATGATAAAATAAAACCTTAATTCAATTGTTAATAACAACTAATAGATGATGTTCTATATATAGTGATTAACAATTGTTATTATTTGGCTATATATAGTGATTAACAATTATTATTATTTGGCTTATAAAAAAAAACAATTGTTATTATTATTTATAATTCAAATGCCCTTGTTTATTTGATTCAAGAAAATAAGTATTAATTATTTATTAATAACTATCCATCAAAAAAAAAATATTTCTTAATGACTAAATCAAATATGGCTTAAATTTTTGAAAATATCATTCATATTAATTTTTAATTATGTTAGTAAATTAACATAAGAAATCAACAGACTAAATAATTTAGTAGTAATTTTCTTTTAATAAAAATAAAATATTTTGAATTTAAGTTCTATAACGCGTGAGTAGAGTGGGTTAAGATACATGAGAGAGTTAGCTTCAATTCAATTGTGCTATTCAAGATTAAAAAAACAAAAATCAAAACGAATAATTTAATATGAAATTAACACTAATAAGATGCAATAATAAGATTACTCTAGTGGTAATCAAGAAAAGAGACAAATGAAAAAATAAGACTTACTTTTGTTTAAATGATGGTGTACATTGAAAATCAAAGAATATTGAAATTAATTGCTAGTTAGTACATTCCTGTTAAATTGATAGATTTTGAGATTTTTTTTCCCTTATTTTATGGAACCCGCGAACACAGTTCACTAAAAAAAAAATTATTGCACTTAACTGTCAAATATGCCTATGTTAAATGGGAGTTATAAACGGTGTTAGGCAAGGGAGGTAAATGTAACGGAAAGTTAAAGTAGAGGTAGGATTTTGAATGACTTTGTTAGTATAGGGAGGATAATAAATGAAAATTAAAAGTAAAAGGACTATAGTTGGCTTTTACCCAAAGGAAAATCCAATTTATTTAGAAAAAAAATCAACTCCTGGTGACGCAAGCTCGGTTTTTTTTTTTTTTTATTTTGACAAGACAATAATTAAAAATTAAAAGTTAAAAATTAATATCTTATTCTTTAGTAAGATTCGATTACTGGTTGAGGTGCAATCCACTGGCAACCCTTTTGAGTTGCAATGATCACAAGAAGCTCGGTTTCAATTGCGAGGAGGGTGTTCGATCCGAAATTGGGGGGAGGCATGACTGTCACCAATGGGGGAGCCAGGGGGGTGCGAGGGGGGCGCTCGTCCCCTTGAAATTTAAAAATCTTACAAATTAGTGTATGAAAAATTATCTAGCCTTCTCTAAACTTTGAAAATTTTAATATTTTGCCCCTTGAAAAAAATTTCTGCCTCCGCCCCTGACTGTCACCCGTCAATTTTTTAGTAGAGAAGAGTTTACTCACGTTTCAAGCTCTTAAAATAAAAATTAGAGTTGAGTATAGAGTACGAATACATTTATTATTTATAAATATTCTATTTATTTGAATAAATATTATATTTAAATTATAAAAAAATAAACAAAAAATAAATATAAAAATAATATATTTGTAAATATTAAATTAAATAATAAATATGAAGTTTTAAAATTATTTATTTTATTTATTTGATTTGTTACTTATACTTATATAATTGAAATTTTATATATATTTATTATACTTAATATTTATATAATAA